CCCCACCGTAACCCAGCATACTTGACACCTGGCACGAGCAATCAAAAGCAAGCACCCGGTATTCGAAGCACCATAACGATTAATTGTGCAAGCCCCAATACCTGGTGGATCTAAGAGAATCATCATGAGGGTCTCACTGAGATCAAAAGGACGCGTGCTTCGCTGACCAGTCTTTTCACGTATCCGTTCACGGAGAGCTAATACAGTTAAGCCTACCCATGCGCATTTGTCAATAAAAGAAGTATCGCTCAAACCTGGCGTCCTCTGTCCCCTCCCTCTTACCTACACCTTTATTTTCCAGACGTAGCACTTCTCCAGCCAATTCAATACTCCCATTTGTGCTGTATTTGTCACCTGGATCCATTATTTTTTTAACCTGGACTTTTACAGCACTCTACTTCCGGCGTGCAATGAGCCGAGCGTGACACCCATTCTTTTCTGAATAGTCCGCCACTTGGAAATTAGCGACAAACCAAGAATTATCATTGATGCTACGTACAAAGAGGGGAAGCAACTAAATTTTTTCTTATTTCTCAGCATTTCTAGACACACTACGATCAACTGTAATGAAACCGAACCATGGGATTAAAATGAAGTGCCCTGGTCCTTTTTCCGCCGAAATCCGAATAGTTCGAGGTGTTTCGCGATTATAGGGTGAAACCCAGTGAGAATTAAAATGTGATGGTTAATTTCGGTTAGAGCAGTAGTTACCAGCTGTAACGATCATTCACGTAAGTTTTCTTTTCTGAGGACTGCAGCAGAGCAAATTGTGCTAATAATTATCCACAAAAACGGAGTGGTGAGATGGAGCTCTGGACAAAGGAGTTTGAAAACGGAAGCGCTGCCGGTCACAACAGGACTTGCTGGAAACAAAAATGAGCAAAGCGCACCTGCCGTTCGGATAACTGCAGACTTTCCGAGATTTCCTGTCGCCTTTTTCGTGTCAGATATTTGTTGTAGTGGAATTCCTTTTCGAGTTCCAAAGTCTGATTTCTGCTGTATGTCTGTCGCGTCCTCTTTGATTCCCCGCCCTTACCACCTGAAACATATTCGCAAGCATACTGCAGCAACATGCACTGATGCTCGGTATGTGAAGTCTGTGCATAATTATGATGATAATTATGTGCACTAGCTAATGTGGCATACGCCTCTTTGACGCTCTCTGTATCGAGCCGTGAACACAGGCTGGAACGCACCAGACTTGACGGTGCGATCATGCGTTTTTGCACTAAACTCGCAGATCGCTAAGAGCAGGAATCCCTACGCTGTAGCCTAACACTTGGGCTCACACTGGCTGTGCTTTGACCCTCTTCCGGCATGCCGGAGAAAGGGCGTTAGTTGGGATGAGGGTGCTGTACTATAGGGCCAGTGGACCTTCAGGTACATAACTACCAGTTTTTTGCATTAAGCCCGGTGAAAATGCTCGCTTTTTGAAAAAATGAAATATGCAAAAATTTCAGTTCTTCACTGAAAAGTGGAAATGTTACTAGAGCGGTCGTTCGTCAAAAAATCCAAATACGTAAATGAATTCGATGTTGACAGAGAATGAGAGCGGTCGTTCGCTGCAAAATGCACTCGCTTCTGAGTTTGGGTTAAAGTTCAGTATTTTTCATAACCACCCGCAGGTAATTTCATCTCAATGAAGAATTAAAACCACACATGAAAGTAGAATATGCCAGCAAAGTTTCAGTCTCGCGCCTTATCCGGTAAAAGAAATAGCCACTTCGCTAAAAATATCTTTGGAGTGCCCTAAGCAGCGGTGCAAGTGCAAATCGGAAATCAATTTAGGGATACGATTACTGCCCTTCCTACTTCCATATGAGCGATAAACATGCTGATAAAATTTCAGCCACTATTTTCCGACTAGTTTTCGAGTTAGGACAGTGCCAAGTGCAAACTTTGGCGTGATCGTATGCGCTGAACAAGCGTGCGCGACAGCTGAATTTGAAACATTTAGCTCACAAATGCACATGGAATATCCCTGCACAGTTTCAGCTTTGTACTTTGCTTGGTTCGCGAAATCGTTTCCTGCCAAAGAAATCTACATATTTTTTTCGGGTCCGTACGCGAGTTCTAAGTGCGTATGAGCAAAACTTTAAAAAGAGGTAGGAATATATACCCAAAATTTCAGCCCCTCTCCCCCCCCCCCCCCCCCCCCCCCCCCCCCCCCCCCCCC